ACATCATTTCTGACATATGTATCTGAGGCGTGATGTCCGGTCTGGTCAGCCAGCAGAAAGAACAAGGTCGTTTAGAGAGCATTTCAACATTGCACCTGCTACAATTTTCAGTTGTTTCCCTCACATCTCAATGACAATTATTCAATTCACACAATGCAGGGAGAATAACAATCAGACAGCAGTTTAGATATGGCATTGTAATGAAAGTCATAATATTGCATTAACTCCTTTAATTGGAGAAATACGACGTCTTTTATGATGGAATAAAATTAATAATCAACGACAAGACAATAAAACTGAATGAATCGGCTGCTGCTGCTTGAACATAATTTACGGCCTATCCATTTGTTATAGTTCTTTCGAATTGTTATCAATCACAGAAATTTGACTATTAGATAACTGTCTGGACGGGAACACTTTGTATACTAGTGTTATGGTATTTGAAGGGAATTTTTGATTAGTCGAGAGGAGATGTGAAAATCTTGAGGGATCATTGGATATCAGAACGAGCTCACGATCAGATAATCAAATGCTGAAGCAAGAAGCGCAAAAGTTGAAAGCAAAATTGTTTATGATCGATGATCTGTAAGATGTCGAAAGAAGGAATCTAGCCAGTCGAATCGCTCTTTACATATCCATTTTGACAAAGTCTGTGTATCGCTTCCGTAATTATTCAGCTCTTCCTACATTGTGCAATATGTGATGGTGTCAGCATCATATTTTTCAACAACAGGCTATAATAGGCACCTGAAACTGAAACATTTGATTGTAAATTTTTAAGGGTGTAATATAACTATAAATGAATTACTTGACAATGAAACAAGCAAAAACAGAATAGCAATGAAATAGATTTTGTGCGATGGTTGGTCATGTATGAGATATCAGAAGAATACTTCATATTGAATGAAACGATTTTAAGAAACAAGTTAATACGTATTATAATACGCATTCACAGCAAATCTGGTTTTTCGAATTGAATTGAATTTCAAAGTGTTTTAATGTGCACATTGTTGCTAGCGATTCAGTCGTTCCTATATCATCATCTAATCTGTCATCAGTAAAATCAGTGGTGATCATGATGATAAATTCAATTAGTCAGTAGTATTGAGGTAGTATATCATTGCGAGAATGAATGTGTTATCATAGTTCTCGAATAGTCAATCAATCAATCATGCAATCAAATACCCAATTGCAGCAACTAAATCACTATTTCATTGTGTAATATCTTGAATCTGAATCGGAAATGTCCACATTTCAACAAATATTCAAGAAACATCAAAAATTTTCGCCATTTTAGAAAAAATTTCTAAAACATTTTCGGTCATCAGCAAAGTTTTTGGACGATTGGAAAATATGTTTTAGAAATAGTAATATAAATTATTAATATTGATAGTATTCGGGATTGCCACTATGATTATGATATTCGATTCAGATGTGCGTGTTGTGACCATAATGGAAGGACTGCGTTCCTCAAATGAAATTCGTCAGTCCGAAGCCGCCTCCGAGTTAGCCGAGATGCTGTTGCTGGGCAACGAAGAGAGCCTGCCGAATTTACCGGTCAAAGATATTGTGCACGCTCTGATTGCACTCCTTCAGAAAGAGCACAATTTTGAATTGGTCAGTTCCAAACCCTATTACTTATAAATCATAGTTTTATCTTTATCTTCGTATATCCTTGTAAATCTTTATGGATTGAAGCATCTCATGTCCATATCTGTACCATTTTGTATTCATGAGGGTTTTATACATACACATACGAGCGATTGAAACAACATCGCAAAAAGTTTGAAATAACGGATTGTTTTGAGTTTTAATGTGAAGAATTTAGATGCTAACAGCGGCGAGATGTATTTCAAACATGCTCGAGGCTTTACCTCGTGCCCTACCGATTGTGATCGATGCAGTGCCGTATCTGCTGGAAAAGGTTCGACTTTTACCGAATTTTCATTATCCTTGGTGAATTTGACCTTGTCTTGAACTGAATAAGATCTAATGTGTCGTTGCATTTTGCAGTTGAAACGTATTGAATGCATTGATGTAGCTGAACAGTCGCTGATGGCTTTGGAGGTGATGTCGAAACGAAATGGAAAAAATATTATGGCAGCGGTTTGTTTTGTCGATTTATGTTAACGTCTCGTTTACTTTCTTGAATGCTGTCGAAAGAAATGAAATACTTTTGTGAATATCTTCTGTTAATTGTTTCATCGAATTGTTATATTAGCTGGATTACCTGGATTGGCCAGGATATCGGGTCGTTTTATTACATTGATGAAAATCGCTCCCTGGAAGGGCTGGAAATGGAAGGAATTGTGTGAGTTTGTATATGTTTTAGGGCGGTATCGCAGCAACAATCTCGCATGTGGACTTCTTTTCGGTGCCCTCACAACGACTCGCCTTTCAAATAGCTGCAAATTGTGCGTCGTTTGTAACGGTGAATGACTTTGCACAAGTTCGAGATTCGTTAGCTGATCTCACGCAGCGTTTACTCATTGAGGTTCGTTCTTCAAATCTTTTTTTGGTCACGTTTTCGTGAGATATTCATTGGAACTTTTAAATATTCCGTATATTTGTTGGTGAATTGAGATTGTTTCAATTATCCTGATCGTAAGTAATGAAGTCCTGGATATTGCAAGTGCTAATTAAAGTTGTTTCTTTCTTGTTTTATGTGAGAATCCGTGCTTTACGAGTTACTCGAGTAATCATGAAAGTACAACCGTACAGTGAAATCAATTGTTGAGCAACGCAATGGTCAGCCAACAAATGGGACAAGTAATTGAGAAACTGGGGAAATTGTGCTAGTCGTATCTTCTGTCATTGAGTGATAAGGTGATGAAGAATGATTGATTTAAGGACAAACGTTGTTTGGAATCAGTGAGTGTGTTGTTCTGTCGATTGGTGGACAACGTTCGAGGACATGCGGACAAGTTGCGTGAAATCGCCGGTCAAAATCATGCACTGCTCAAGAATGTGCAGCAGTTATTGCTGGTGCAGCCGTGTGCTGTTGGTCCGAATACGTTCCAAGCACTGGTTCGTATGTTACGTCATATGGCCGCTAAGTGCAGTGATCTGGCTGTGGCACTTATCAATATGGGTGAGTAAATGAAGATTTTTGTCTTTGGCTCGAATATTATGGTGAATGTTGTTTTCACTATTAGTATTATCAGGTTTCGGTTGCTGTTATCATTGTTAGGGTCGTAAACAAACTTCGAGTTCGTTTGATATCATTTTCCGTGAATTTCATTGCTAGTGCTGTTATTTCCTTAAGACTGAGTAGTTAG